CTTAGGTTTGAAGCTCATACGACCAAAGTTGCAGAGAGGTAGTTCCGAGGAGCAGATATAGTCTTCACTAAACCTAAACATAATCAGAGGAAGGGGTACGGAAACGCTGACGAGTGGTCCCTCCACGGTTGAAGGGCCCCTGTAAACCGGATACTCACCCACTGCAAGGGCTCAGTTATTTTCTCATCGTATCTTCTAACGACATCGGTCAGGCAAAACCTTCGATTGTTGCAGGGACGAATGGAGACGTTACTGGCGCCCGCTCGAGGAACTCGATGATCAACGGGAGCACAGGTGATACAGGTGATCTTCTAACGAATAATTCAAGAGAAAAAAAAACTGAGGACGAGGAAAGAGAAGGAAGAAAGGAAAAGAAGGAATGAAGGAGGAAGTAATAAGGAGGACGATGATGGCCTCGCGGTTGACAGATATCCTGAGACGGGTCGCCCTCACCCACTACCACCAGTGCGATATTCTAAGAAATATGCATGTATAAATAGAGAATTTTTGTGCTTTCTATAACATTTATTGTCTCGAGGCTACTGATATGAAACCACTTGTAAAAAATTTGAAAAAAAGAGGGGAAAGGAAGGTGGGAAGAAGGAAGGGACACTTTTAGGAATACGCCTTTTCAAAACGATAGTGTTCTAAAGAAAACTATCCTTGTGCTATATTAATACAGAGACATTTTCTGAACAACCAAGAAAACCCATGGGAAGGAAACTGGCATGAACAGTCAATTATCGATCAGAAATCAGAGACGATATCGCGACAGAAAAAAATGGGGTGTGACAGACTACAGAGCGATGTGATTTCTGCACTATAATCTCGAAAACGAATGGTTTACTTGTAATGTGACGTGTAAAGCGGCAAGTGATCACTAATCACAGCAACACTGATATGTTATCGTGGTTCCCGATGGAATCAATCTAGAAAAAGGCTTTCGAAATGAAAGGAGGTAAATAGAATGCTTATACGTCACCCTCTTCTATGGAGGACATAAAGAGGCTAAAGAATTCCAAAAACGAAAATGACGACGAGCGAGAATTGGTTGCTGACCGAGGCCATACTGATACGTTATCGTAGTCCCCGATGGGATGGATTTGCAAAAAGGAGACTTTCGAAAGCGAACAGAATGCTTGCTAACATACTCCCGGCTTTATTTGAACTCTACGTAGTTTGTCCTTACGAAATTTAGTCAGATTTTGATCAATTTTCCCCCGGTGGTAAAGTTGCTGAGGTAGAATCCACAAGGGTTGTTCGGTTTAGGGGGTGGGGGGATAGACATTTTGCAGTTTCGGTAAATTCTTCAGCTAATTCATGTTAACTAACTTGGAATCCTTCTATATATAAAGCAAAGTTGTGTGTTTGTACGCTTGCGTGTGTCGCCCGAACGGACGGACCAATAGGAGAATAGGCTCCGCCCACAATGGGCGGGGCCTATGTATAGCTGAGCGGTGTCTGTTGAAACGTTGTCAACAAAACACTTAAAGCCGTCACTTTGGATGGGGGGTTCTCGCACACAATAAACGGGGCGTGCACCGAAGTGAGTAATGCCAACGACAAAAATTCGTAAAATTCCTTCGGAAGATCACGGGGACCCGGGACAAAATCATTCTCTATGCACCACGTTAGACTACACCACAATGGCGTGGGGCACACCGAAGTGAGCGGGCGTTTGTTCGCGCGGGGCCCTAGACGGCTAAGCAAATCTCAAAATTCAGCACGGCGACTACTTGGGCAGCGGGAAAAGATCTCGGTAAAAAGTGGGCAGGTAGATAACAGAAGGAGGAGCCCCCGAAATGGCGTTGGAAAGAGCCGAATTTGCAGTCGCGGGCGTTGTATGGTGTAGGCGGGGCCAAGTAAAAATTTCGAAGTTCAAAACGCGGAACTACCGAGCAGCGGGAGCGAAACGTGAGTAAAGTGGTCGAGGTTTGAATTCGTCGATTTTTGGCGAGAAAGTGTTTTGATGATACCAGCTCTGTGATCGACTCGATTTTGTTACAGATTCGAGTGGGCTGCATTCTATGGAGAGGGGGGGCGAGGGGGGGGGTAACATAAGTGAAGACACACCCCAGCGATGAGATGCGCGCCGAGTCGGCGGCGCCTGCTGCAAAAGTTCATAATATAGTCGCAAGGCAAGTGAGAACAGCAGTGAATATGAGCTCATAATCGAAAAATTCATAACTTACTACCAATTTTTTGCATTTATTTATTTGTTTAATTACCTGCTATTCATTCTACAACAACTCAACACACCGACACACTCATCACACACAACACACACAACAACACCAATTTGCCACAGCACAGACACACACACTACGACACACCACACACACAAACAGCACACACTGGCACGCGGGGCAGGTGCTGTGGACACACACCACACCACACACACAACACACACAGCACACCACACACGCAGCACACCACACAAACAGGCATGCGCACACACACACACACAAGCTCACGCCCACACACCACATGGTGGTGGGCAACACACACACAAGCAACACACACACATGGCTGCACAGCAACGGACCCCACACACACACACACACCATCACACACACACAAAACACCATCCACACAACACAAACACAACAAGTTCCACCACACACACACACCAACCACACACACACACACACACACACACACACACACACACACACACACACACACACACACACACACACACACACACACACACACACACACACACACACACACACACACACACACACACACACACACACACACACACACACACACACACACACACACACACACACACACACACACACACACACACACCACACACCGACCACAATACCACACCAACACGCAAACCACAACACACATTAGCCACACACAGCACACACACACACACACACACACACACACCAAACGATTCCACTTCGTCTCACTGGCCGGATGTGGTGCGTCGCTATGGGCGCGAGTGCCACAGTCCGGTAAGCGATAGTCCAAAATCGAAAAATCGGCGTCCAATGTGCGAATACCAAAGGTTTTCGTGATGAGTGGATGCCATATCCGTGACCAGGATCCACAAAACTGATGGCGTAGGGCAAAGAAATTTCGTTTCAAGTGTGTCTTGAACTCCGTTAGGTGGCGCAAGAAAGCGTAAGGATTGAGCAATACTAGAACAGTGCAAAGAGTTTGCAGCTGATCAACCCCTTCTGAGATGGGCACGCATTCTACTTACATTCGGAATCATAGTGGCGTTTGAATTGATATGACCTAGGCAATGACTTGCGGAACCAGTCAATTGCCAAAGGTCATTATTCTTTAAAAGATGGTCGAGCTAACCGCCTAGAAAGGAAGAAATGTTTGGTTGCCTCGGGCGGGAGCCAATTCGGAATTTGAACTTTGGACATGCGTGTGATAAGGGGGCCATTCGCCACTACAATACATGCTGTTTGCTACCTAAGTCTTTTTTTACAGCAGTGAAACTAGAGCTAATATTCTACTTTTCGCTCAGAGAAAATCACTGAAATTGAGATTAATGGACTATGTTGTAAAATCTAATAAATGAGAATTATTGAGGGGGTCGAAAGCAAAGAGATAGCTCAGCTTCCGTTTCGCACGTGCCCTTAGACGGAAGCCGAGCAAAAGCATATTCCTTCCTTGTTGAAAACGATAAAGACTGAGAAGTTTAACACGTTGACGACGAGCCATTTTTCCCATGACTTGCGCGTGGGACGGCACATTTTTCCGCATTGAAACTTAGTAATTTCCAAATAAATGAATTACTACGATCAAAATGTATCGAGAAATGCAAGAGACGAGTATACCAATCTCGAATCTTGACAAATTGCTCTTTAACTGCTCCAATCTTCCAAAATCAGGCCATTTTTTTACCAAGTTCTTCCTCTGGAAACAGAACTGACTGAAATTTGTCTCGCGGGGTGGTTTGATCTCATAAAGAACAATATGTCTTGCC